AAGAACCAACCAAAGGAAAATTAGAAAATACTTTGAGTTGAACAAAAAAGAAACTACAAGAGTGTTGATAAAATCATGTTCACGAGGAAACCTTCAGTTTTGCATTGTTTTATTATGCAAAAAACAAAACTCTAAAATCAACGATCTAAGCTTCTAACTTTAGAAAGTAGGGGGTAAATAAACCTGGAGAGAAAAATGAAATTAAAAAGATAAGAAATCAACAAAGTAAGAAACAAACAACTGAGAAAATAAAGGAAGTCACGAGTGGCATTGTAGGCCTGTAATCCCATCACCGTGGGAGGCTGAGGCAGGAGGATCCCAAATTCAAATCCAGCCTAGGCAATTTGATGTTTGGTAAAACCCTGTTTCAAAAAAAAATAAAGAGGGTGGGCTTATGGTTTAGTGGGAAGCCCTTGTTTTTAATCTCTAGTACTGAAATGGGGTGGGGGGGACAAAAAAAGGCTGGGTGTGGTGGTGCTTGCCTGTAATCCCAGCACTCCAGAGGCAGCGGGATTGGTGAGGGTTTAAGGCCAGCCTGAACTACAGAGTGAAACACTGTCTCAAAAAAGAAAAAAAGAAACATTAAAAAAAGGAAAGAAAGAAATAGAAAAAGGAGAGAGGAAGGAAGGGAATAAAAACCCCTACAGTTAGTTCTTTGAAAAAATAAATCAATAAAATGTCTGAGGCTCAGGCGGATTAGTTTTAAAAGGCACGGAACAGGGCATCTCAGAGCAGACGCCCGTGGGGAAGGGCTGCAAGCTGAGCCGATGCCCTGCAGGATGGAGACAGACTCAGCCCGATCATCTATTAGGTCCTGGGAGAAACCAGGATGAAAGGACAGAGGTGAGGCCTCCGCTGTTTCTAGTTTATTGAGTCTTAATTATAAGTTGATGCGTATCTATTTATCTGTCTATCTTTCTTTTTCTTTTTCGGTGTGTTTTTCAGGCAGGGTCTCCCTATGTAGTTTAGGCTGGACTTGAACTCACTCCGTAGCCCAGGCTAGTCTCAAACGCTTGACAATCCTCCTGCCTCAGCCTCCTGAGTGCTGGGATCACAGGCGTGCACCCTGACACTAGGCTCCAGTGCTGAATTTTGTCAGTTTCGTCAGTTGAAAGCCCTCCAGACTTTCTGTCAATCTACAATCAAGGGCACTGGGTTGCAGGACAGGCGTGTGCATCAAGGGAACAGAGAGGCTCATCCCGAGGTCCCGAGTGTGGATGAAGGTGCCCTGGAACTCCAGGAGGAAGGGCCGCGCTGGGTGAACCCACAAAGGAAAGAAACCCGAGCATTCTTTTCTATTCAGAAAGTCAATCTCACAATTAAAACCTCGCCCCTAAAAACCTTTAGTGAAATCAATTAAACACGCAAAGCAGCACTAACATCAGTCCTGGGCCAACTTTCCAGAAAAGGCAGGAGGGGGGAGGGAGGGGAAGGGAGAGGAGAGGAGGGGAGGGGAGGGGAAGGGAGAGGATGGGAGGGGACACTTTTCAATTACCTCTAGAGGCTGTTGCTACCTTAACAGCAAAACCAGATGAAAACAGTTTAAGAAAACTGGGGACCCGAAACTCTCACAAGTGCTGACGTAAAAATGCTTGTAAACTGACTCTGAAACGAAAAACAGGACATGCCACAGCCACGTGGGGTTTACAGGGGGATGCAAGGTCTGTGTTTTAAAGCCGACAGTATAATTCACTGTCCAGAGAGCTGAGGAGAAAAGACAGGGTCATGTCCAGGAGCACAGAAAAAAAGCCTCTGACAAAAGTCTGCACCAACTTATAATGAAGGCTCTCAACACACTGGAAATACAAAAAACAAACAAAAACCCTCAAAAAAAAAAAAAAAAAAAAAAGCCAGAGCCGATGCCACCGCGGGCGGTGCCCAGTCCACAAACTCACCGCCAAACCAGTACCCAGCCCACACACTCACCCCCAAGCCAGTGCCCAGTCCACACACTCACCCCCAAGCCGGTGCCCAGTCCATACACTCACCCCCAAGCCTACCATCTCCATTAACTTGGGCGGGAGAAAGAGCTGCAGGCACACAGGGCGCCCAGGAAAAGAGGAGAGAATTCCCCTGTGCAGATGGGAGCTGCTGTGGACTAGGAAGCCTAGGAAAGGCAGCAGAGCTGCTGGAGGAGCCTCCAAGAGCCACACAAAGCCAGCTGGGTCTCTATTTGCTTGAAGACAGCGGACGGACGGAGGCTGGAAACTCAGGGTGTGCGTGTGTGCGTGTGCATGGGTGCGGGGAGTCCCACCTGGCTCCCCACGCAGGCTAAGAGTCATCTCTCACTCACCTGCCCTCTTCGATTTTTAAAAAACCCATTTATTCACAGCCTTACAAAACAAAATAGCGGTGAGTTGATCAATATACGGTCGAGAACTTTACACTGACAACCGAAACACATTACTGAGTGACGTGAGGGAAGCGCATCCGGCACAGAGTACATCCCTCTCACGCCGCAGAGGACTCGACATTATTAAGACGAGAACTTTCCCAAATCGTGCCGTGCGTTTCAAAGGATTTTTCGTAAGTCCTAGCAGACTCACAACTTTTTTTTTTTGGCAGCAATAGTCAGATGGGCCCGAAAATGCATTGAAGATAAAAGCAGGAATATTTTTGAGAAAGATGAAGGAAACGAGATTTACACTATTTGTCCTGAGACTATCAGTCTACAACCATCAAGACGTGTATTAAGGAACAGGATGTGGGCCTGGAGAGACCCATGCACGGGGTCACCTGAGTGTGGATAAAGGCACCCTGGGTAGCACAAGCTGTCCTCCTCCTCCTGTGTCTCCCCCTCCTGCTCCTCCCCTTCCTGCTGTTCCTCCTCCTCCTGCTCCTCTTCCTCTTTCTCCTGCTCCTGGCTGGCTGGGCGTGACCACAGCAATGCATCCTGGCTGTGCAACAGGGTGCCCGTGATGTCTCGGGGACATCATGCCCCCTGATTCCCTCTTGAACCTACACCTGAGTTGATCTCGAGGGAGGCCAGTAAGGCCAGCAGGGGACTCTGGGTGCAGTTCTGAGGCTCTGAGGGTAACAAGGGGGTCCAAGAAGCGGGCTCAGCCCATGAGAGCCAGAGACCGGAAGGGTAGAGTGGACTCTGGGCAGACGGAGAGTGGAGGAAGGGCGCTGGACGTGGTGCTGATAAAATCCAAATAAAATACTATTGAGTCAAAGGCGTGACAAGCTTTTTATACTGAAAAGTAATTTTATACTAGAAAAAGCGTTTTAGCTTTTTTTGTCTTTTTGAGACAGGGTCTCTCTCTGCAGCTCAGGCTGCACTTGAGCTCACTCTGTAGCCCAAGCTGGTCTTGAACTTGCAAGGATCCTCCCGCCTCAGCCTCCCAAGTGCTGGGATTACAAGCGTGTGCCACCACACTCGGCATAAAACCAGTAATTTTTATTATACCATCTACTGTCAAAAGAATTGAGCTTGGAGTTTTCATAAGAAAGCAACTCAAGCAGAAAACAAGTTAAAGCAACCAGTAACAGGGCATGATGGTGCCTGCCCTCACTCTGGGAGGCTGAGGAGGGAGGATGACAAATTTGAGTCCAGTCTGGGCAACTTAGCAACTTCTTGAGAGCCTGTCTCAAAATAAAAATTAAAAATAAACAGGCAAGGATGGTAGCTCAGTGCAACGGCTTGGGCTTTGGTCCCCTGCAGAAAGATAACAGGCAAACAGGCAAATTAATTAATTAAAGGACCTGGTGGTCTCCTGTGAATGCTGTCACCTTATAGACGGGATGCTGAGGCCCACTGCCACGCACACCGTCTCTCCAAGGGTGTTTTAAATCCTAGTTGGTAACCACTCCTCCTCCAAAACTTTAAATTAAATTTAACAAAGGAAAAGAAACCTACAGTCTTGTCTCACGTGGCACATACAATTTAACAGGAAACTGATCACACAGTCTGCGCTGTGGCCCCAGCACCTTGAAATAAATGTCCATAAATAAATAACAGAGCTGTACAAGCAGCAACTGCAAAACTCCTGAGAAAAACAAGGAGGCGGCTTCACAACCATACGAAAAACTCCGATTACTTTGACGGTAGAGTAAAAGCACAGAACTGATAAAAGACAAAACCGGATTATTAAGGAACAAAATCAATAAAACTGGGCCCACTTCAAAGGTCACCCCTAGGGTCCTGGAAAGCCGCTCACCAGAGAACGATAGGGAAGCGAGTGCGGGCAACGCGTCCTTTAGAGCTGAGGGACAGACAGATGGATGCCTCACAAAGGAGGTTGATGAATGGCAGTGAATGCTGGAAATACTCAGGGCCACGAGTCACCAGGAAGACACAGACGAAAATGCCACAAGCCGCCATGCACCCATGGGGACGGAGAACCCGAAGAGGCCACTGCTGCCACCCTGGCAGAAGAGTGGGGCTCAGTCTAAGCACTGCTGGGCCGCTCTGCAGCCTGGGGTACACTGGATAGAGGGAAACGAGCACACGCTCGGGAGGCTGAGCCAGGGGGATCGCTGCGGGTTCCAGGCCAGCCAGGGCCACAGGGTAAGACCCCGGCTCAGGAAACAGAATGAATCGAAACAAATGCAAGCTAATCTGGAACCACACTGCCTGCATCCATTCTGAAGCAGCTTCCCGAGGGCAGTGATGGCTTTGATGCTCTCAGCTGCCCCCCACAGGCAACCGCTCACAAGGTGCCCTCATGCACCAGAACATGCTTTCAGGGAGACGCTGCAGGCGGGGCCTTGGCTAGGGCAGGTGCACACATTTTCCAAAAGCACGAAAGGTAAGTACTTCTGCACCAGCCTCACATCCAGACAAAAGCGATTTCTCAATTCAGGGAAACAGGATCCTGACCACACGCCTGGGCCTGAGGCAGTGTCACCCTGCAAAGGCTAAGTCCCCAGGGACCAGGGGGGCTCGGGAGGGCAGTGTCTGCGGCAGTGTGTGGCTCAGTGGCTGCAGGACTGCAGGGGACAGGTTCGAGTCGCTTCCTCTGTTTCAACATCAATGGCGGAGGCAGGGAGGGCCTTACCGGACAGGTGCTTGACGGCCACCGGTCTCACTTTGTAGGGCGTGCTGTAAGACAGAAGAGGGCACCGCGGTGAGGGGCTGTCCCAGATGCCCACCCCATGCTGCGAGAGACGAGCGCGGGGAACTTGAATGATGGAGTTAGAGTTAGACCGTAGGTATCGGGGGCCAGAACCAGACCTCAGCCCTGCCAAGCATATGCTCTGCACTGAGGTACATTCCCAGGCCTCCTGTGTTTCCCATTTTCCTTTTTTTTTAAATTGGTACCGGTGATCGAACTCACAACCACGCGCTTGCAAGGCAGGCCACTTATGCCACTGAGTTAAACCCCCAGCTCCCCCCGCATTCTCTTTTTGAGACAGGGTCTCACCATATAACCTAAGCTAGCCTTGCACCCATGGAGACACTCCTGCCTCAGTCTCCTAAGTGCTGAGATTATAAGATGGGAACGCACCACCAGGCCCAGTTTTATTCTTCCCTTTTTAAAAATTACCTCCTTAAAGTGTTCTAAGTCCTCTGGTGAGTTCTAAATGTCCTAATTATGCCATCAGAACAGTGGACTTCCTTCACAACGTTCACACTTGATCAGTGACACAGACTTTGTCATGGGCATCCAATCCTCAAGTCTGGCCCCTGAGATTCTGACCTGATTGTCCAAATCCATCCCAGTGTTGCCCAGGCAGGTGGCTTTCTCTCTCTGGCTCCGTCCGGACTCAGGACCTCTGTGATCTCGGAGGGACAGGACAGGATGGAGCCAGTGGCTCAGCCAAGACATCCAGGGCCTCGGTGGTGTCACTCTGGTAAATCTCAACACCCAGGGGGCTGGGCAGGGGATGTGGCAGCACGTATGGCAGATGGCAGTGCACTGCCATAGACACGGGGCCAGGGCCAGCACAGGGCTCTGAAGTCCATGGAAATCAGGCAGAGGGCAGGGGTTGGTGAAGCCAGGAGGGACTGGAAAAGATCGGGAGAGAGGCTCCCGCTGTGCCCGGCAGCTTGACAGACTCAGAGCTGGCAGTGAGATGGAGCTGTGGGCTGCTGGGGGGCAGGGCCTGCCACCTGCCAGAAGGACAATTGTACCCACAGATGAAAACCCCAACTACACCTCTTTCATCAGCAAAGCATCTTAGGAACCCAGGGACAGGACAAAGCACCTGGCCTGGGAACGGTCAGTGGTCACCTGTTCAGGTCCCTTGCTTGCTCCTGCCTGCACGGAGCGGTCACCATCAGCAGGTGCTGGTGACAGAACAGCGAACCAGAACTCAGTGCTCCTGTCCCAGACCCTCACTAGGCCACGGTCACACTCTTCACTGGGAACAGTGGAGGCTGCTGTCACAGTGGCTGGGCACAGACTCAGGTGTCTCGGTCACCGTGCCACCCCATCCGGACAGTGGGTGGGGCGTGGAGAGACAAAGGGATTCGGATGAGAAATGGGATTCACACCCTCACAGGTGACAAGGAAGCAGACTCTGGTTCTGTCCCCTCCACCTCCACCATGGGCAGAGGACAGGGAGAAGGCAGCTCTGCACCCAGGAGGCGGCCTCAGAGCTGCCCTGATGTCAGTTTCTAGCCCCCAGACCTGAAGTCACTATCTGTGGTCTTCCTGTCCCATCAGAGGTTCTCTGGCGCTGTTCAGAGAGAAACACAAGCCAGCATAGCAGCCTCTGCTGTCCGCTCTCCAGGAGGTAAAGCAGGAGGACTGAAAGTTCAAGTTCAGTTTGGGGAATTTACCAAAACCTTATCTCAAAATAAAAATAAAAAATAAAAAGGGCCAGGAATGTAGGCCTGCATCCGTTGCTGCAAAAATAAAAAGGGGAATATGAAGCGCATGGCATTGACCATGGAATTACTGGGTAAGACCAGCAGGTCACCGTCTCACACAGAGGACACACTCGCCTTTGCAAAAGGAAACTACAGAAAACGCGAGGGACCCACACAGCGCCCCATGAGCAGTGACCACTGCGATGACTCGGGTTCTCAGTTAGACCTGGAACATGTCTCATTAATGCCACTGTCATGGAGGGCAGGCACACACCTCGCCGTCACCTCCCTCATTCGCAGGGACACAGGAGTGAGTTCACACACCTCACACCACAGTCTCTCATAGAAGCCTAGGTGTGTGTGTGTGGGGGGGGCTACTGGCTGTTGGGGCCCTGGAGTGGCTGAGTGTGGGAGCCACTAGCTGAGAAGGCTGATGGCTTACGAAGGACCGTTCTGGCTAAGGACGCAGCCTGGGGACGGAAGCCTGGCTCTATCGCTTGTGCCCCACCCTGTCTCTGTGACTCAGTTTCCCCCTGAACACTACTGTCTTGCAGCACTTCTACTGAGAAAGAATGTGGGTTCATACAAAGAAACCTGGGAATCTGGCTCCTTCCTCTTCCCTCCCACCCTCCCCTTATCTCTGCTTTATTATTATTATCTCACTTATTTATAAGGTCTCACCAAGTAGTTCAGGCTGTCCTTGAACTCACTATGCAGCCCAGGCTGGCCTTGAACTTGGGGCAACCTCTCAGCCTCCCAAGTGCTGGAATGATAGGCATGGGCCACCATCTGTATGTTCCTTTTTTTTAAATTAGATTTTATTGGTACATTTCAGATACACATAACCATCACATTCATCACAGAGAATCGTACCTGTATGTGATATAACCTGTTTCTCTTCCCTCCATTCCCCTACCCTCCCTTAAATCCATCTCTCCTAATGCAGACTTCCCTGCAGAAACACATTTTAAAAACTAGTCCCAGAGCCTCCATTGCAACACAGAGCTGGCAGATAGAGCCCACGGTGACCTGGCCTCTTACCGCTCAGAATTCGCCGGCATGGTGGGGTCAATGGAGACCATGGCGTCGTCCGTGGTCAGGAGGGAGATGGTCGTGTTCCTGAAAGACACTCACGTTAGCAAGTCCCCCAGTGTGCACAGTGGCCCCGGGCTCACTGAAAGAACCAGGGCACGGGGGTTGAGGACCCTGACCCTTCGCCTACATATAGAACTCAATGGCCCTAGTCAGCTGCGTGTGCTTCTAAGGGCCTGCAGGACGGCAACTGATTTAACATGGCAACTGGAATGGGTTGGGTCTAACTGGTGGAGTTGGAAGATTCGGCAAAACCAAGGTACACGCAACGCAGCACTGAAAACCGGCCCACAGCAAATCTGCCACGTGCCTTTCAACCCTGGGTCCTCGGGCTTCTGTCTAAACCGGCACAAGTGACTCCCACAGCACAGCTGCAGGTGCTAACTGTGCCTTGGCCAAGTGGCTGAGGCTGTCTCACCCGCAGCTGCAATGTTTTAGAATCCGTGCATCTGAGGCGACACCTGACCCCCGGGCTTGTTACAAGCAGTAATCCATGTGCATTTGTGGCACATGCCTCAGACAGGACACCCCAAGCTGCAGGGTATTTACACTGCCATTTACTGTGATCCAGGTGCATGGGTTTCTCCGAGCCCCCCTTTCTTACCTGCCTGGGAATCATCTCATTCTACCCTGAGCCTCACCTTTGAGCTAATCCCACACTACTCCTGCTCTCTCCTTATGGTCACAAAATCAGGGCATGAACATGGACGGAAATCCTTCTCCAAAATGCTCTAGGCTGAAGGCGTCTCAGAGTTGAACTCGCTCACACAGGGACACACCATGACCAGCCCCAAGAGGGGCCCCAAGCTCACACGGGAACCTTGCCTCTTCACAGCAGCATAGGGCACCGTGGGTAGACTGTGCCCTGAGACATCAGAACAGCATTCACAATGCTCAAATCTGGGGGACCTCTGGACTCCAGCCTTTGGGAGGAGGGATGCTCAGCCTGTCCTGGAGGATTTCCAGGTTTGTACAAAGCTGGTTGAGAAGGTGAACCCCTCTGGGAGACAAGTGTCTGGTCCTTGTGGCTCATGTCTGAGTCCTGGGCCAACTGCTGGCTGCTAACAAGCCCACAAGATAAAGGGACCAAACCCAGACACAACCGGCTTCCTTTCTCCAGAGCTAACACACTGATGCGAGGAAAACCCGACTCTCGAGGGGGCTTCTGCTGAATCTGGCCCAGTGCCTGAGCTCTGCAGGGCCTGGCTCCTTGACTGCAAAGCCCAGGGCTCCATGCCTTGCCCTCACCCTGCACCCCCCTTCCTAGGGCCCCCTCGAGCCAGCTGGTGGCACTCACCGCGGCAGCCCGGTGGCGATGCAGAAGAGGTCCATGATGTCGCTGGAGTTGCAGTACTTGCTGAAAACCACCTACAAAACAGAGAAGCCACAGGCGGTGAGACAGGAGGGGCAACTGGTTTCCATGGTGATGTCAGACTCCACGTGCATCCTCTCCCTGGCCGGAAGGATCAGTTCACAAAGCAAAACCATAGGCATGGCACCGGGATGTCATTGTGCACATCTGAAACTCTACTTCGTTCTCTGTTCACTGACAAGCGTCAGGAAAGATAGTGATCAAGCAGGTCTGCACACCTGCAGGTGACCTTGGTCACAGGTGGCACAAAATTCCCAATGGGCAAGGGTGTCCCATTGCCGTCTCCAACTACCTCATGGGGGTGTGACGCGAGAAAGGAAATTTAAGTTGGCCAGTTTAGAAACAGAAGATGGGCTTTGTATTTGGGGACAGAAGCTGAGTGATTCTGTCAAAGGGATCAAAGCCATTCAGCAAGGCTGAGCGGCTGTCCCTGTGGCCACGGCCCAGAGTTTGAAAGCCACCGTTAGTCTGTGCTCTTACTCATTCACAAAGAGGGAACGACGGGAAAAACCCGTCCCGTGAGCTCAGCCCTTCTGCACCCTGTGCCACTTCCTGTGTGCTGCGGGGCCAGCAATGAGGATGCAGAGCAGCAGCGTCTGCGCCTTAGGGTCACACCCTTTGTACCTCTGCCTTGGCCCTGACGCCAACTGCGTCACTCTGTCCCAAGGTTGCCGTCCCTGCATGGCCCTGGCATGCCTGAACTGCTGCAGTGGCCTCCTTCCTGGTCCACTCTGGTCTCCCCACTTGTCCCTCTTTGCTGAGTCTGATGGCTCCCTATACCCCCAGAGGTGAAGGGGCGGAGGACGCCTTAGGGTCTGTATGACATCACAGGAGGGAGATGATAGTGGCCCGGCACCAGCATATGGCCCAGGGCTGTCTTGCCATAGGAGTGGGGGCTAGGGTGCCTAGTGAGGGGTCCCCAACTCTGCTGCAAGCCTCAGTGACTCCAAGCAAGCTCTGCAGTATCTTTGTGCCTCGACTTCATGTTCTGTAAAATGGGCCTGGACAAGGGACAGCTGGTATTTCCAGGCATCTGGCAGCTCTGACACTGGCTGAGGGTTCTGGCTCAGAGGCCAGGACAGAGTGCAACAGTAAAGGGCTGCAGGGACACGCCAAGCCATCTGCCCCCCAAGAAACAAGCCCCTGGACAGCTTCTGACACCCTGTCCCCAGACCAGGGGGCTCTTAAGGGTTTCCACAACACTTCCTGTGAGAAACAGAAGCATCGGAGGTCAGCGACCCCACTGCCCCAAGTCATCTAAAGAGCACCCAGCGGGTGACACGGAACCCCCTCTGCTCTCTCCTGCCTGGCTGACCTGGAGCTTTGAGGAAGCCTCTGCTCCTCCTTCCTGAGCCCTCCACAGTACATTTGCTGCAAACTAAAATGAAGCATTTAAAAATGCTCTCTGGTTTTCACGGCAGCTCTCCCCCCTCCCTACCTCCAGGAACGTGCAGAATGCTCTTCCACTTTCCATGGCAATGAGGTTATCTGCAAGGGCTCTGCAGGAATCTGCCCTCCACCACGTAGGGGGAGACCTGGAGCCTCCTGTTGGGGCCCTGCCAGAGCACTGAGTCCTGGGTTGCTTTGGACAGCTTGGGTGAACAGACCTTCTGAGGCCTGGAACTGTGCTGGTTCTGCAGGGTCAAACTCAGGGTGGGGTGGGGACCTGACCTGGTTCTTGGGGTCCCAGCATCCACGAGGGAAGCAAGACCCTAGTTTTTGGCAAGCTGGAATCCTTGGATACTATGCAGACCTTAAGAAGACAGGAGTCTGCCCAAATTTATAAAAACTACAGGGAAAATCCAGAGGAGAAAGGTGTGTGTGTGTGTGTGGTTTCCTTGCCTCTGGGTGGCAAATAATCAAACCTTTTCAGAAGTCTAACTGTGTAACCTTCCAACACGGCAAACCCAGAAGTTCCCACGGTATCCAGACTCTGGACACCAGGCACTGACAGGCAAGCCACACAAGGGGAGAGAGCTACTCAGCAACCGAGAATCCTCTGTCTTTAAGATTATTTTTGACAAAACGCAGGGAGGCTAAAGGAAACCTGGAGTCAGCAAGAAAGATCGGATTGAGTGTTGGCATCGGAAAGTAATTCTAAGTCCGCCGGTAAACCCATGTGTCGTTCATTCCTCTACTCCACAGACCCAGGGTGGCTGAAATATGCAGTCAATGTTTAAAAAATGATTACAATGAAAGACGCACTGTCAGGAATCCCCTCAAAATCCCCCTCTGTACTTGGAACACAGCCCATTGTCCTGGCCACTTTCCGAAGCAGCTCTGGAAGTCTTTTCCTGAGTGTCTTTATGAGGTGTGATCAAAAATACAATGGGCACTGCTGCTGAGCGCCATCCAACAGAAAGGCATGCTGGGAGTGGTGGTGCATGCCTGTGATCCCAGGACTGGGAGGCTGAGACAAGAGGATCGCCATGAGTTTGAGGCCAGCCTGAACTGCAGAGTGAGTCCCTGTCTCAAATCAAACAAGACAAAATAAAATAAAACTCAACAACCCAGAAAGGCAGCTTGTGAAAACACGACCCTGTGTCCTTGTCCACCTTAGTCACCAGATCTGGCACTGTGGGACTTCCGGCTCCTCTCCAAAGTCAAAATGACCATGAAAGAGAAATGTTTTAAATCATTTCAGGACATCGAGGCAGCCACAGCCACAGACCCTCAGGAAAGAGCTGCAGGAAGTGGTCGGGACAATGGGTGAGTATGTCTGAAGTAGGGGGGGAGGATTCTGAGATAGGTTCCTGACAACGTGTCTTTTACCATAATGACTTTATAAAACTTTGAACATGTCCTGTAGTTTCTGACCATGCTGCACCCACGAGTGGTTCTCTGATTTCTCCTTGAACCTGCTGGCATCTCACCAGTTGCCTCCTCGATAAAGAGGTAGGGAAGTGCTCTGCCATGTGGCTGCTTTATGTCTGTGAGTCTCTGCGGCCCCAGCGGCTGTCCCCAGCGGTCCTCAGCAGGCCCAGACCAGGAGGGGCTGTGCAAGTTTCCTGATCCTGGATGGCCCGGGTTACTGACAGAGAGAACTGGCCCGACTGCAGCGCGGGGACACTGAAGGTGCAGGCAGCCCTGTTGGGAGGGACAGGGCCATCTTCATATGGAATAATTTTGCGATTTCTTCCTTTTATCCAGACACGCAGAGCATCGCCCCACATTTTCTAAGGGTGAAAGCACACATCTGTAATCCCAGCACTCAGGAGACTGAGGCAAGAGGATCACTGTGAGTCAAGGCCAGACTGGACTACATAGTAAATCCGTCTGGAAAAGCAAGTAAAACAAAACAAACAGAATTAAATGGAAGTTGAGCCTGAGATGTGGAGACAGTCAGAGTCATGGAAAAGGAAAGGCTTTAGGTCATCACTCAGCCTGGAGCCAGAGCCAGGAGGACCGGTCTGCAGCCACAGACCACCCCAAAGCCTCTTGTGCAGCTGGCACGGCAGTGTCTCGAGATTAAAACACGACAGGAGACACAAACGAGAAGACGGTGCTGCTCTGTGGCTGGGCATCTGCCCCTCCCCATGCAGCATGTCGGGCTGCTCTGTCTGGAAGTCCCCATGCCACCTGCAGCAGAGGCACTGATCTTCACTGGGTGCCAAGCACATGATGCACGCCACATCATGCAGTGACACAAGGACGCTGGAGCACACCCAGAGCTCCTGCCAACCCAGGGATCAGGACTGCACCCCAGTGCCAAGCCACCAGCTGCACATCCTTGACCCTGGGACCACCCCCATGTCTGCTGGTGACTGATCCACATTCAAACCAGCCTCCTCTTAGCAGCAGAGTGAGGAACCTAGCAATGTCTTTGGGGTTGCAGTTCTGTCCTTCAGCATCGCTCCTGTGCTCTGGTTTTTCCTACATTTGGTGGGTAAGACCATAACTAGGGTAAACTAAATTTGCCACTCTGTAAATGGGCCAAGAGCATCAGTGCCATCCACCTCAGTGGTGAGCACCAAATACAGGCTGATGTGACTCGAAAGAATTACCTGAAAATAACACAGCTGACTGCATCGGTCAGCTTTCCCTGGCCGTGACACAACACACCACACACAATTTAAAGGGGAGGTTAACTCGGCTCACGGTTTCGGAGGTTCAGTCCCTGGTGGGCCGGCTCCACGCCAGGAACATCATGGCAGAAAGGCCTGGCAAAGCAGAGCTGCTCACAGCATGGTGGCTGGGGAGAACGCCAGCCAGAGAGGGACACACCTCCGAAGCACACTCTGCTGTGAACGTCCCTGGAAGAATCCTGAGCAGTTAGTACCCCATGATTCAGTCACCACCTCTCCAGGAGCCTCCTAATCCGGCCACATGACAAGTAAGATCCACTGCACATCTGGCTAGCACAACACTCCGCCCTATGCCACTGCTGGTGCCCACAAGTCTCATGGATCTGCTGGCTCTGACACACAGCGACGCAGACACAGGCCTCCCTCAGTGGTCTCTGAATTGCCAGATGTCCCCAGAAGGATCCTGTGCCACACTTTATTTGCAGTAGTTTTATTTTGGTAAGAACCCCAGTGGACAACTGGGGACTTCTGGGACCCATGGCAATGAATGAGTGTCTCTGCTGTAGCTGTGCCCATGGGGCAGGCTGCCCTTGACCTCAGAAAGGTGGGAGCAGCCCCTGCAAGATGACAGAGGAGGAGGAGGAGGAGGAGGAGGAGGAGGAGGAGGAGGAGGAGGAGGAGGAGGAGGAGGAGGAGGAGAAGAGCGCTGCTGCAGCTGGGCCTCAGCGGGGAAGGGACTTTCTGGCCCAGGGTCTCTGGGGCCTGGGTGGCCCTGGTCAAGTGTGCAAGAGGGCAAAGGGGACCCAGAGCTTGGGTCAAATTGTCCCTGGCCTGGTCAGCAGGACGGTGGTCCTGGGAGTGACAGGAAACGAAGTCAGAGAGCAGGCTGCTGGCCAGAGGCACTGGGTTCTTAGGCGTCCCCACGAGGATCCCCACTGAGCCCCTCCCCCACCCCATATCCCCCAGGACCA